CGTAAATGGTGGTCCTCGTTGAGCTCAAGCCCATGACCAATCCACTGGATGGGTGTTTGAATGCTGAAAAAAATCTGAGCTCGTTAGCGCGAACCTGAATTTTGCCTTTTCGCCTGAATGGTGACAAATACGTGGTCGATGTGCCGCTTTGGCTACATGATCTCGTCACGCCACGAAGTACAGACACTGGTTGTCTTTTACCGTAGTTACATGTCACCAACTAGCTTTGTTTTCTGCCGTAAATAGAACTATATGAAAACTAAAAAATAACTTCGTACATCCATAGACACATTTGTTGTAATGAAGTAGTATGAACCCAATTGTTATTCTATACTGCATTTGCCTTTTCAGTGCCCAATATGTCCGACAAACCCGTCTAACTCAAGGCTTCATTGAGCACGACGACTAGAAACACTTCAAAACAAATTTCACCACGGTGACACCTCCGTGGTGAACATGTTCAAATTGATCATCAACGTCAGCATGCTCACGGGCTTGTAACTTACCTCTAATAACTACGGCAAGCTCCACACCAAATTCACCTTTTCAAGAACGGATATTGTATAAAAGAAGTTCAATAGGTTTGATTCTCCGAGCAAATTGTCAGAATAGCCAAAACATGCACGATACGATTGGAGACATCTCTGCCGCCATTGCTAACATCATTATCACTACAAAATAATATAAATCTTCATAAGCAGCATGCCTGAGCAGTGCACAATGTTTACTGCAGTGTAATATACGGCCTGGTAGCGATAGTGTCCATCATCCTTATTATCGTTTCTATTGCTACAGCTATAACTATACTATGAGAGCATAGGCGGTGGTGCCATAATCGCGACGATTGCTACCGCCATTGCCGCCACCACTTCGTTCATCACACACATGAACAACTGATACGCGATAGAAACAGCTCGTTGGTCACATTCACGTCCATGGCACTTGTCATCAACTCACTGCTGCACTCAATCAATATCACCGCCAACAATAAACATCGTTTCGTACTATTAGCAATGCACGCGCGGATTGTCGCCTAGACTAGTTATTGCGGTGAGGATTGACGTCGTGCGATGGTAGCAATAGTAGTGGGTCAGTAAGTGGTTGCGCGATTTGGTCGAACGGCGCGCACTATGAGCCTTCGTCTAGCAAAAAAAAAACAGTAAAGATTCAGCCTCCAGGAAATGGTAGTC